AGTAATGTAGAATGCGTTACATATCTCTGAAAAGCAATTATTATAGTGACTTTCATCCGAACGGGGGCATTTTTTTATAATTATAAATAAAACATTTTGCACCTTTCGAATTTAAAAAAAAAAGTCAAGCGGAAAAATTGTCACGTAGAGAAAAAACATTAAACAAAAAAAAACCGTGTGTATAGATCGAAAATAAAAAATAAACCTTATTGTCCAAATGTGAGTCTACATATCAAGATTTTTAGTAAAACCTTTTGTTTTCTTTGACTGATTGATAACCGTTTTCTTGATCGAAGAAAAGCAAAGATCAATAAAATGATCTTTTCCTTTTAAACCTTCCCTTATATTCTCTGAAACAGCTAAAAATTGCTGAAAAAAGTATTTAATATGTCACACTATTCAACCAACTCTTGTAGAGACTTATACCACTATTATTACTACTGTATTCTATTTACTAACTACTACGCTGTTAAAACACTAAATTACATTTACTATACCATCCATATCACAGACAGAAAAGAAGCGTTGTTACGTCGCTGAATAAAAATATAGTTTTGATTTTTTTTACATATATATTACTAGCGAAGAAGAACTTGAGAAAAAAAATTGAATCATTTTCTTTCCTTTGGTCAAAAATTCGGACAATTCAAAAAATTCGAATTGTAATTTAAACAAATAAAATTGTAATTCAAACAGTTCAATTTGTAATTCTAATAATTTTAATAATTCAAAAAATTCAAATAAATAATTCAAATTTTTATGAAAATATTTTTACCAGAATTTGGAATTGCCAAAGGAAATAAAATAATTTTGCAAAGAAATATTAATTTTCTGTCAGAAGATACAGAACAAAATATTTTTTAGTTACATTAATGAAATTCTTACTTTTACAAATTGTTTATTGTGAGAAAAAATTACGTCAAATTGTATTGTGAATTAAAATTCAAAAAACAGAATTAAAATTAAAATTCTGAATGCGTAATAAAAATAAAAATTCCAAACGCAGAATTAAAATTTAAATTCTAAAACCAAATTAGAATTAAAATTCTGATAACGAAATTAAAATTCCAAAAGCTAAATAAAAATAATAACTAAAAAATTGAAATTTTATTCTAAAAACCAAATTTCAATTAAAATTATTGAAACGAAATTAATATTAAAATTCTAAAAGCTAAATAAGAATTAAAATTCAAAAAATTGAATTAAAATTCTAAAAATTGAATTAATTATGAAATTCTAAAAATAGGATTTAAATTAAAATTCTAAAAGTTAAATTAAAATTAAAATTCTAAAGGTAAATTAAAACAGTGTTATCTGTCGAAAAGTGAATATGTAGTTTGAAATTTCAGCCAATTTACTTGTTACAATGTAACGAGGGAAAATAAAATCTCCATTGTCAGGAGAATATGAAGTTTGAATACCGGAAAGTTTCAGATATTGATTTTACAAAATGGGCACAAAGTTTGAAAGTGTATTAAAGTTTTACAGAAAACGAACTTCAAATTCAATATTTAAATTGGCATTTAAATAAAATAAATTCGATAACAATATTCAAATACAAATTGAAAGAGATAAATTTTATAACAATATTCGAATACAAATTGAAAGAGACAAATTCGATAACAATATTCAAATACAAATTGAGAAAAATAAATTCGATAACTATATTCAAATACAAATTGGGAAAAATAAATTCGATAGAAATATTGAAATAAAAATTAAGAAGAATAAATTCGACAACAAAATTCAAATACAAATTGAGAATTTTTACCTAAAAAAGTATTTTTTTCTCATCAGAGATAATCGAAATTAATAATTTCTTTGCAAATAGAAAAAAAATGATGAATTTTAAATCCGGTCGATTCCACGTTGTCTTCGTCATCTCCTTTAATCCTTTTTTATTGTTGTATTTCTCCCTTGAGAATGTTTTTGTTTAAAATCTCTGTATCAATTTTATGAACAACATTGTGATATAAGACTAATACAGAAACAATTTTTTTTTTTGTTAAATGTTCGGAGAAAACGAGCGATGCGACACGTGCAATTGAAAGGACGTTCTCCAGCTGTGAATTCTCGGACAAATTTATATTATTATAATATATTCTTTTTATCGCCATTAATAATAGAAATATTAAAGAAAAATGTTTACTAAATTTTATATTTAATATTTTTATTATTAATTCTATTATTTTTATTACTATTATCTCTGTATTTAAACTGCATTATAATATGTTGCATATTTAATCGATATGAAATTCTCACGCGATATTGTTGCGTATTTATTATACTGATTGTACTTTTATTGTAAGCGTACATTGTTGATTAGTTGCTATCAGAATATGTAGATGTGTAAAGATCGGAAGGAGAAAATAAAAAAAAAAAAAATGAAAACTACTTAAAAATTCGAAAATGAATTTTTTAGTATTTTATTTTTTACAAGTCATGAATAGTTTTTTTTCAAAATGTTTTTTTTTTGAAAGAAATCCTTCCGATCTACGGTTATTGATTCTTATTTGTTCTTTTAATTTTTTTACAACTTTCGTTTGCTCAAAGCAATTTCTCGTTCGGAGGAATTTACGAAGAATACTTTGCGTTAACAAATAATGCTTTGAGAAAAAAAAACTCTCGTTGTAAAGAGAAAAAAAACCCAAGTGTTAATTAGTAGAAAGTAATTAGTCGGGTCGATTTTTTTTTTTTTATAAAACCGAGGTCAAATTGCTTTATTGGCATTACTTGTTCCTTATTTTTCCGCAAAGTATTCTCCTTTATTGATTATTATTTAGTCTAGCTACGAATTTTTATTTAAAAAAATAAGAAAATAAAAAAGCTAAATTATTTTTAAAAACGACCATTAATATATTTATTTGCAATATATAAAAGGTGAAAGAGAAAAATTTTATTTTAAAAATATTTATCAAAACTTGTTAACTTAGTATGTAATTATTTGAATTTGTCAATGATGTTTATTATTAAAAAAAAACCTACACTTTTGTCTATGTATATTTTATATCCTAAAATTTGTAAATTTTTCTCTTTTCGCTTTTATGTCGAATATAATAAAAAAATTAGGGTCGAAAGTATTTAGCGACGTATATTTGTTTACTCGATATTCGATTGATTACTTGTAAATAGTAAAAAAAAGAGAAAAAAAAACAATTGTCATTATTTACTTGACGATGTTGTTTAAAAGTCTGGAAAAGAAAAAAATTCGTACTGTATAAAAACCATTTTTTTTCCATCGTCGGAAATTTCATTTCCCGACTAATAAGAAAAAAATGTGGATTAATTGTGCGATTCACAATTGATCGTAAAATAAAATAAAAAAAAAAGAATATTGAAAACTCGAAAACACTCAACACTTTTACACGGATACTTTACAAGTACACATACAAAAAAAAGTCACTGTCTTTAAAAAGACGTTTTGCGCTCTTGACAGTAAAAATATCATTAAAAAGAAAATACAAAAATAAGATCGCAGATTGCTACCGCTCGATAGTAATTTAATGTTTGTAAGGGCAATAACAATTGTAAATTTCGAGTACACTGTATTTGAATGTGTAAGTTGCATAAAAAAGACAGATTTTTTTAGATATTGCACTGTAACGTTTATTATTCTAAGATAACAATATTCATGACGACTGTAACATCGTGGCTCACGAATTCGTCAAATAAAGAGTAGAACTACATTTTATTAAGAAAACGCATGTAAAAAAAAATAAAAGAAACTATTGATCCGCAGACATTTAGTAATCAGAAAAAAATAGAATTAAAAAATAAAAAAATTTTTGTGAAGCAACCTATCCTTGTGTAACATATATATATGTATATGGAAAATATTAATTAAAAAGAAAAGAGAGAAATGTATAATTATAAGAGGCAAAAATATGTCTATTTGTAAAAAAAAAATAATAAAATAAAACTGAATCGAGAGCCACGAGAATGCAATCGCCAATGGCAAGTATAAATGAATATTATTATTATTAAAAAAAAAAATAATAATAATAAAAATATGAAAGAAAAAGTATATTGTTCTTTCCAAATACGAGAAAAACAAGATTTTTAGTGTTTACACTACGATTGATAAACAATTCTATTATTACATAAAATTATATTAATAACAATATTATTATTGTAATATGTTTGTTTTTGGTTATTAAAGTGTGTATATAGCAAATTATATTATCGTTATTTATTCAGACCTTTCTAATAAGTACTTTTTTCTATAAATTCTGTTTACAAATTCTATGAATTAACTAAATTTATTTATTTTTTAAAAAATAAAAAAATTTTTTTTTCTATTTTATAAAAATAAATAATTGTTTATATAACAGATATTCAATTAAAATTTAAATTAACTAGCATTTTTACTTTGCAAGGTTGCTAAAAACTATTTTGTTTCTTTCTGATATCCAGAAAAAATTTCGAGTATTTTCTTGATAATTTTGAAAAAAATTCAAAATTAGTTTTATTATAAAAAGAATTAATTTTTAAAAGCAAAAATTTAATTTAAAACATTAAAGTTGTTTATCTATTTAAAAAAAACTTAAATACTGTCAGTAACTTCCCTAGATTATTTAAAAAAAATGTCAATAAAATTCTTAAAAAATTAAAAAAATTTTTTTCTTTTAATTTCTTAAAAATTTAATTAGTTTTAAAGATATTTTCAAAAATCTCTATTATTTAAAAAATTTTTAATTTATTTTATTTGTTTATAAATATTGAACGATTTTTAAATAATAGATTAAAATAAATTCTAAATTCCGAAAAAAATTCTAAATCTAAAATTTTTCAGAATTTATAAAAAAACATTTCGAAACTTGCATTTTTTGAAAAAAGTTTAAATATAAATCTTCTCAGAATTAAATAATTAATAAAACTTTTAATTGTAAATATCAACATTCTGCATTAATTTATCACATTATCGATTTTTTAAAACTTGAGTCTTGAAAAAAAACCCTAGATCAATGGTTTCAAAAACTAATTTAAAAAATAACACAAACTTCTTTTTATACATATGACTTTTATTTTCATAGACGTCAGTTAAATAATTTAAAAAAATTTGCATGATAAACATTTCATGGTATTCATTTTTCAAAAAGAAAAAAAATATCCTGTAAGGAATGTGGTAAAATTCATAAAATTTAATGCAGTTACGATTGCGTCTACTGAAAAAATTAATGTATAAAAGAGTGAATTTATATTTGCAATAATAATGAAATGAAATTACTTGTCCATTACCGTAAATAATCAACATTCTTATTGTTGATTAATTTAACGGTAATTTTTTTTCTTTTTTGGAGATAAAAAATCCCACACTCCTTTAAAAAGAGTAATTTTGGAATTTTTTCTCTTTTTTTTTAGAAGTGACACACTGGCTCTTGAAAATTCTCTGGAGGTTTCCAAATAAGGGCAAGTAAGATTCTAATTTTCCTGCACAGTTTTATTTGTCGTCAATGATAAAACTTTCTTCCTTTACGAAAAATTCTACAATTTCTTCCTCCACATTCTTTGTATCTGAATCCAATTCATCCGTGTCGATGTCTAAAATTTAATTTTAAAAAATTGTCAATTTTGCAATATGTGAATAATTAATTTTTATTGAATTTATATTTTAAATTTCTATAGAAAAATAAATATTTTTAAAGAAATACTCACGGGTACGTAATTCCATTCGCCTCTTCTTCTGGGTATTCCATTCCTCAATTCGTTTATTGCGATATTCCTCAAAGGCCTTCATCAATGAGCAACGCTTCTCGATTAATTCCTTCGAAGCGCGTGTGAGTCGCATTCGATCTTTGCTCTCGAATTGAGACGAATATTTCTTAAGATTCTTTCTAATCTCTTTGATTTGTTCAGCTGACAAAAGTGACGGTGGTCGTGGACGCCACAAGAGTTGATTGAAACCATTGAGATTGATTCTCTTTAGGATACGTCCTTGGAATGTCCAAATCCAATATCCGTTATCAACACTTGTTTTCCAACTTGAAACAGCTGTCACGACATAGCTGCAAAAAAATTTACATAACGTGAAATAAAAAATTATTAATATACAAAAAAAAGTTTCCAAGATAAAAATTTGCATAACATGAAAAAAATTATCAACTACCAAATCCAATCGAAAAATGTTTTCAAGATAAAAAATCTAAAAAGAAATTTATAATCATTACCGTCCAGTGGGATCCCATTCGACATCGGAAGTTTGATAATGATCTGTGGAGTTCATTACTGTGAAATCATTCGTATCGATGAATTCTAAAGCACCCGACATTGATGTTAAACCAGCGAGAACAATGAATTGACCAGCAGGGGACCAGAAGAGATGATTGCAAGCTTTCTTCTCGAGTTTTTCTAAACAAAAAGAAAAATGGATTTAGAATTACAAAAATGACGAAGTTTGAATATTTAATTGAAATGTAATTAAATGTAAATTGAATGTAAAAATAAATAAAAATAAATAAAAATAAAAATTGAATTTTAAAGTAAAAAGAAGTAAAAATTGAATTTAAAAATGAATAAAAGTTAAAATTTACTTTAATAATGAATAAACATTCAAATTGAATTTAAATAATGAATAAAAATTAAATTTGAATTTAAAAATAAATAACTATTAAAATTAAAGTTAAATAATGTATTAAACTTAAAATTGACTTTAAAAACGAATAAAAATTCAATTTGAATTTAAAAATAAATAAAAGTTAGAAGTAAACTTACTCAAAAGTGCTGGTTGGTGTCCGAATCGAACCTCGTAGAAGCTGACGCTAACAGTTGGCACTTCTCCGTGAATGATGGCAAATTTACAACCTACGGGTTCCCAAGCGAACGCGTGAATTGGTTCTTTAATCTCCACACTGTCGACGGGAATCTCCTTCTCTCTCATATGGAAGATTTCGAAATTGTACGACATTCCCTGTAAGAATTTTCTCTTTATAATAATTTTTTAACAAATTTTTTTTAATTTTAAATATTCAAAAATTTTCTTACACTGTATTTTTGCTCCGTTTTTTCCTTACGTTTAGCGAAACGATCGCATTTCACGCAGAGATAATCACCAGATTTTTGCCAGAATATCTTACATTCAGCGACATTAAACAAATTCTTGTAACGAATTTCGTTACGGCTGGAAATAAATAAACACAAAAAATGTTAATTTAAAGCATCAAAAAGTTCTTTGTGAATTTTCAAATTCTTTTGTTTATAACTTAATTTAACGAAATTTCGATAATTCTGACATTCTTCAATTAATTATATTAGAAATTAAAAACTTCAAATAATTAAAAAAAATTCCATTAAGCTTATTGAGAAAAATTAATTTTTATAGAATTCTTAATTAAAAGTATAAAAAGTTCAAATTTTCAAAGATTTTAATTTGAAATTCATTTTTTAAATTAATATTTATTAGAAAATTCTACGACAATTCAATTATTTAACTAAAAAAATTAATATTTTATTAAAAAATTGAATGTTTCTTAAAATTGAATTTTTATAGAGAATTTTATCAACAAATATTTAAATAATTGAATTCTCTTGACAAATTTTAATAAAATTTTTAAAAATAATTGCATTTTTCGAGAAATTTGATGAAAATTGTATTAAAAATAATTGAAATTCTGACAAGAATTTTATTAAAAGCTTTGAAAATAATTGAATTTCGGAGAAAAATTTTATTATTTATAAAGATAATTGAAATTTTGACGAGAATTTTTGTAAATTTTTAAACATAAATCTTTTCTGAGAAGAATTTTATTAAAATTATTTTGAAAAAAATTGAATTGTTACGCAAAGAATTTCATTAAAATTTTTGAAAATAATTTTATTCTTTAAAGAAATTTAATTAAAAATGTATTGAAAATAATACTTTAATTCTAATAAATAATTGTAGCAAAGGTTATTAAAATAATGAAATTTCTTTGATAAATTTTAATAAAACTTTTAAGAATAATAACTTTTTTCGAAGAATTCCATTAAAATTGTATTAAAAATAATTGAAATTCAGCATTGAGTTTTATTAATTTATTTATGAAAATAATTGAATCCCTGTAGAAAATGTTATTATTTATGAAAATAATTTGCAAATAATTGAATTCCTGTGAAATTTTATTATTTATGAAAATAATTAAATGTTTGCATAGAATTTTATTAAAATTTTTTCTAACTAATTGAATTCTTTTAGGAATTTTTATTAAAGTAGTAGATAATAAAAATCATTCAATTGAGGAAAGTTTTTGAAAATAATTAAAATTTTTGAAAATAATTGAATTTCTGAGAAGAATTTTACTATTTTTGAAAATAATTGAATTTCTGCAATCATTTTTAATTGCTTCAAAATTCAATTTGTTTTCGTGTTTTTAACTAAAATTCTTCTATAAATACATTATTTTTAACAATCAATTAAATATATATTAAAAAATTTAACTTAATTCAGAAGAATTTTAGTTTTTAAAATTTTTTTTAAATCGAAGTTTTTTTTTGATATTTTTAATTAAATTCATTTAAAATTGAAATTTTATAAAATTTTAATTCAAAATCTTTTGAAGTTCATCTACTTATGAAAATTGTAAACGTAATTTTTTTAAAATTGAATTAATTTTGAAATATTTAAGTGCAATTAGATTTCAAGAATAAACACAATAACTTTAGAAAACAACAATTTTTCAAGATTTCGATAAAGATTCCCAGACTTTTCCAGGTTTTTTCAAGGTTTATAAAATTCCCTGACATTTCCAGGTTTTCCTGAATAAATTTAAAAATAATTTTAATAAGTACATTTAGTACTTCCGAAAAATCAACTTACCTTGGAATTTCCAAGAGGGTGACACGAGCGGGATTATTTTTGTCTTCCGGACGCCAGAAAGCGAGAATATTGTCTGTTGGGGACCAACCGAAATCTTGAATACCATCAATTTTGAAACTCTTCTTGTCTAGCAATCCAAATGACTGGAAATAAGATATTATTGTCAATAACAATCTAAATATTTTCTAATAGTCAAAATAATTGTTAATAATTTAATATTTTGTTTTCCAATACTCAAAATTTAGTACTATAAACATTTTCTATAATTTTCTTTTTCAAAATTACTGTTAATCTAAATGTATTTGTAAAAAAATATTTTCTACAATTTTTTATAATTATTTTCTAATAATCAAAGTATAAATCTCACTGGAGTTTCGTAGACGCTCAAAAGATCTTCGCCAATGCACGCAAAATATTTATCATTATGCGACCAACGGAATAGAGGCCAAATTGAAGTGGCTTCCAAGCAGAAGGATCGTTTCTCCTGGCCAGTGAAAATATCCCAAATGACAATTCGCTTCTGATCTGGACTTCCATCTGAGCGTGGTGTATAAGTGACGAGGTACTTTTCACATGGTGAAAAATCAACACACTCGACGCCACGTTGACTGAATCTTGCCTGTTGCGTAAATCCTGGACCACCCCAAAGGGCAACTCCAAGTTTGTGGAAGGTGACTAAGTAGGTTCCCATTTGAGACCATTTTATATAAGTTTCCGTCCATCTCTATTGTGAAAAGAAAAAATATGAATTTAGAATCAAAATCTTAATGTATAAAATTTTTCATTTAATTTAAATCGTTAAAAATAATAACAATTAAAAATTATCTATTAATTCGTTAAAGAAAAAAAAATTACCGTTCGCTCTTCCAATAATGTGGGTTCAGGTGCTGAATTTTGCCAGATTTGAACAGCAACTGCAGAACTGTTTCCGGACAAAACGGAGAATTGATCATACGCATCTTGATCGAGTAGAAAAGAATGTAAATCTCCAGCACCTTTGAATGGTTGTGACGTCGGTGGTTCCCAATCCTTAGCGATATCTTCAAATTTCTTAAAATCGGTGAATAAATTTGTCTTGAAAGTGTGGAGTTTATCGATTTTGAAATTATTCTCTTTAGCCACAGCTACCATTGCCTGATGTGGATTCTCAAATTCGAGAAAGATGTATCTGGGGAAAAATTATATTCTTAGAACATAATCGAATAAGAAAAAAAGCAATTTCTAAAACGTTTCTAAAAAAATAAAGTAAGAATACAATTTCTTTTCAAGTTAATTCGTCTCCAGTTTTAATGTACCGAAAGTTTTATGTAATTAACATTTTTAGAGGACGTGACAATCTATAAATAATTTTAATTAGAAACAAAATTGTCTTATTATTTTTCGTTTTCAAAAACGTTGCTTCAGCCTCATTAATAAAAAAGAAATTGTAAGTAAAATTGTGGAGTAATTCGATTAGTTACTAAAATAAACTATTTTAAAAAATGTTTTAAATGAAAAGTTTACCCTTTAGTTACACCAGTTTCGTTGACAGGAAACCATTTATTCACGATAGTGCCATGCTTCGAAAATATTTTCTCAATGACGACCGTGAGCTTCTCCTGCCGACTTGGCTCGACCTGAGGAACACCATCGACCACAATCACAGACTCTACACCATCTGTTTCGGACGGTTTTGTACTCAGGATATCCCCGAGAAGTTCTGTGAATATTCAAAGAATACATTTTATTTTCAAGTTAAAGTTTTCTTTAAAATTCGTTTAACATCTTGTAATTATCTTTCGTTCAAAATTCATTTTCACTAAATATATTTCCCTCAAATATTAAAATATCTTTTGCGAATAAAAGTAATGAAAAGTAAGAAGTAAATAGTTAAGGATAAAGCTATAAAATATAAATATTTTCTAAATAATTCAAAGGCTTGGTTTTCGTTCAAAATTCAAGATGTCAGATGCCATAATTTTTGAGGTTATAATTTACATTTTCGGAAAAAAAATAATACAAGTGAAAGAAATTTAAAAAAGCATGTGTTAAAAATATTCGGGACTAATTAAACTTTCATTTGGAGATGTGAAACGAATGTTCGGTTATCTATCGATAGTGATAAAATAATAAAGCGTCTTTTTAAGGTTATGTGCGAAAGTCACACTTTGCGGCCATATGCATCCATGCTCCGAATGGCACACAACGTGCCGATTTTAATAATGAAATTATTCGCACATACCTTCATCGGTAATATCATCCTCATAGTCCTCGGCATCACTGAAGTTTGGTTCTTCATCATCATTCACTGTATCGTCATTTGCTTTATTATTATCTTCGTTTTGAGACGATTTAACAACCGAACCTTTTTTTGCCATCTTGAAAACCTCTCAGCATCGTCAGCAGCACTCAACGACGTCATCAGTACTTCCTGCTTCCTGAGAGAATTCTAGCCCTCTAGTGGCGGTAATTACGAAATAATTTTCAAATTTCCTATTTTTGAAAATTTACTTTTTGTTCATTTTATAAAAATAAAATATTTGAAGGTTTTCTTTTATTTTGAAGATTACTTCTATTTTTGTAGAAAAACACTTTATTTCTATTAATGCTTTTACATTTTTTTTAATTTTATAAAAATTAAACGACTAAAAGGAAAAATTTTAATAATTGAAATGTATTTTCAATTTTAGCGATTTAGATTAGTTTTAGAATTAAATAGTCGAATTTAACCACCTGGATTCAAAATAAATTTCAATTACCCTGATTTTAAATAATAAAATTAAATATTTCAAAATATTTCAACATTTTTAATATATTGGGGTGGTAATTTTTTTATTAAAGAAATTAAATCAAAAAGTAAATATTGAAAAAAATTATACAATAACTAATTTTTTTTTTATATTAATTATCTTACGATTTGCAAGGAATTGCCGAATTAATATTTATTTTACTAGCAAGAGTGAAAATTTATGACTTTTTCAAAAGTAAATTTAGAATAATTTTTAATTTTCAATTAATTTTTATTTACATTAATTATTTTTTAATTTATCAATTCTACACATAGGAAAATTAAAACAATGTTTGCAAATTTTTATTTTCACGTCGAAATATATTAAACATTGTTGAATTAATTTAAAACAAGTCCAAGAAAAAAAAACAATGAAAATTAATTAAATAAACCTAACTTTCATAATAAGTAATTTTCTTTCTTTCTTTATTGTTATTAAATTAATATATTGTTTTTTTGTATGTATATATATATATGTATATATGTATATAACAGCGACAAGTACAATGTTTTTTTTTCGTTATGATTAGCAATGATAATCATAATTGAAGATTTTACAGAGTATGTACCGTTGAAATAAAAGATGCGAAGTAACATAATAATAAATCGTATAATTATAATTGTAATCGCATTATTTATAACTTTTTTTTTCTTAGTCCATCGTGAAATTTTACATTCTTATAGATACAGGGATACAGAAAAATAATACCGTACAATTGAGGTGCAATGCTTTTGGACTGTGTTAAAAGTACAAAAAATATAAGGACAGACAAAAATTGAAAATAATAAATTCAAAAAAAATAAAATAATACCAACAACGGTAATAATAGTAAAAAATAAAATAAAATAATAGTAAAAATAATAATGAATGATAATAATAAAAAAATACTAATAATAATAAATTTAGAAAGCAATCTGTCCTTTGTTGAAAAAAATTTCTTTTCTAAATTCTCTTTCGTTCCAGCGATAATCCACTCAAATCTTATATATTTGATACATTTGCGTCGTTTGTTGTACAAATCGAATCATAAATTTATACAAAATTATCGTATTTTTTTTATTTGTTTTTTTTTGGTAAAAAGTAAAAGAAAAAGTATTTGAAATTTTACCAGAAAAAAATACGAAAAATTTGTATTCTTTTAAAATTTTATTTTTGTAAAAGAAAATACACTAAACGACGCTAAACGATCGCTTTCTACTTCGTGCGTGACTTTCCTTATTTTTATTATTAATATTTAGGATTAATAATTGTACCGTTAATTATAAACGGATCCTATTTTCCGATCGATCTAATCGTATCATCGATATCGGATTTATTCAATTTTACACGCATGAATTTTATTTATGTATACTTCACTTGGTCCATTTTCGACGCAATCGTTTATATTTACAATAATTTAAAGAAGAAAAAAAACTGTTTCACGCTCGATCGAAAGTGAATTTGAAATTCTTTTTTTTTTTTTTTTTGCAGAAAAAAAATCAAAAAATTCGAGATAATTTTTAATTTCCTACTGATTTTAATTTGTTTTCAAGATAAATGGTCTTGAAAGCAAATTTCAGTTTTCAATATTTTTTTTCTAACCAATTGCAAAAATTTGCTAATTTTTATAATTGAACAATTTTTAGATTGATTTTTTTGTCAGTTCTCTTAATCACGAAATAGCATTTCACCTCATTGTTTTTTTCGGTATGGAAATATCGAAGTTATTCAATTTATTTTCTTCATCGCTTTCATTTTTTTTTAATCATACTATCTTTATGTGACACATTTACAATAATAACAATATGTTACTCGCCGTGAATCGCAACATTCGCATTACTCTCGCATCGTATGTATATATTTATACTATATATAATATATATATAATTCGAAAAATTTTGTGTTTTCCTCATCATTAATCCATCTTAAAACTGGTTTTTTTTTATCACAAAGTTTTCGAATTTATCGAATGTTAACGTTACGTACAGCAGTTCTTGTGGTTTTTTCATTCTCTCAATTAAATTCTTATGTTTTGCGCAATTTTTTTTTTCTTATAAATTTTTCTAATAGTTTTTTCTAATTTAAATTTTGCATTGTTAAAATGTCTTTTTTTTAAAGAAAATTTGTATTCATTATTTTCTTTTTTTTACAATAATAAATTATTAATATTTCTGCTATTGCGCTGAATTTTTTTTTGTGAATTTCAATTTTCACTGTACAATTTAATTTAATTTTTTTTTTTTGAAGAAAAATATTTTTTTTTAACTGTCAATTTTATACGTCATATTTACTTATTTAGGATAGTAATGTTTAAAAAGTTTGAACAATATCGCAAGAAATACTATTGCATTCGTAACTATGATTTTGTTTTTTAAATATACAAAATATTGCGAGCAAGACTAAAATTATTAAAAATAATTGATTTCTAGGAAACTTATTTTTTTGTTATTGTAAATATTGGTGTTTACTTAAAGAACTCTGTGAAAATTTTGTGCAGCACTTGAATCTCTCCTGGTGGGAAATTATTTTTGGAAAATTTACGTAAACTTGCAAGAAACTTTTAAAGAAACTGAATTTTTCCTTAAATCAAAATCTACATTTTTCCTAAAGACATTTTACGCATATAAAATTTGTTTAATTTACATTTACGGAAAATTTACGTAAATAAAATTTTTTTAATTTACATTTTTACTTTCGTAAACATTTTAAATACAATTTTACATTCGTAGAGATTTTAAATTTACTACAATGTTCAGTATTAATTTATTTCTGTTTGAAAGAAAATTATACGGAAATTAACGAAAGCTATTTGCGACTGTTTGCATAATTTTTCCAAAACAAGAAATATATTTCCCTGTAGGGCAGTTTTTTGGAAAATAAATTATTTGGATTTGCCACATTCTAGAGAATGAAATAATTACAAAGAAGATGATTTAAAATAATTTTTTGCTAGAGAAATGTTTCACAAAGAAAATAAATATAAAGGAAAAGCAAATAAAGTTATGTAAAATGTGAAATTTAAATTAAAATTTAAGTAAAAATTTAAATATAAGATATAAATGTAAAAAATAAATATAAAATATAAGCATAAAATAAATATAAAATTGTAATATAAAATAGAAATATAAAATAGAAATTTAAAATAGAAATTATGAACATAAAATATAAACAGAGGGAAATAGAAAATAGAAAATAGAAATATAAAACAAAAGTATAAAGTATAAATGTAAAGAAATATAAAATAAAATTATAAAAATCGTCGTCAAGTAAAGAATTAAAAATTCGAATACAAAAAAAAATTAAACACTTTCGCATTTAAGTCTTGCTTTGATTCAAAGTCTTGCGCTATACTTTCCTGAAAAGGCTGTATTTTCTTTTCTTCTTTTCTTTTTCAAGAGAAGAGAATAAGAGATAGAGAGAAGGGAGAATGAAAATAATCAAGATAGCTGCACTGTCAATATAAAAAAAAAATTATTCTCAGCAGAGTGCTCTATGTCTTTTTTTTGATATTATCTGTTTTTGGAAAACTCGATAAAGAATAATTAGATATCAGTGTGGCTGTTTATAATAATGTATAAACGCTAACATCGGACTTTCCGACGAATTCATTAAATCTCTCTTCGTGGCACATTGTTTTTTTTCTCTTGTACGTTCGACAAACTCGTTTCCTCATACACATTTTCGACTTAACAATACAAATTCGATAAACGAATTAGTAAAGTATATTTTATGCACTTTTTTTCCATTACCCATTTATAATAAAATACACATTCACGACGTTATGATAAATTTAGTCTTAGAATTCTTAAAACGATTTTTTTTGCGTTATGTGCGCGTGGGTACCTACAATTTGATACCTACCACGTGTATCATTCGTGACAGTCTATTTTTGTTTTTATATAATATATACAATCGCAGAAAAATTGATTAAGAGTTTCTGATATATATAATTGTGTCTTTTGTTCTCGCGTATTTTTTTTCTTTCATTTAAAAAAGAATTCATCATCATAACAAAAAACAAGAGAATAAAAATGTCGAGAACAAAAAAAAAAGGTTGAGAACAAAATTTTCGAAATGAAAAAAATTTCCCAAATTTTTAGCACCACATTTTTGTTTGAAATTCAATTGAAGCTGCTCGCGATGACACGGGAAACGCGGAAAAATAATTGCCAAACACTTTCGAAATGTTTTTTGTTTTTGTTTCTAAACCTATATATCTTAATAAGGTCGTTTTTCACAAGGTGTGTAACAAGACAGTTACTGGGTTTGCTTTCCTTTTTCTTTTAAATATGTACAATTTTTAATTTTTAATATTAACAAGAGAAAAGGGACCTTTTCTTGCACTATTTAAAAAAAAAAACAAAATTCGATGACGAAGAATTGGAAAAGGATTTTATCGGGGGGAGGGACAATATTAAGAAACTGCCTCCGACTCTATCAAAAAGGTTCCGGCGATTTCTTCATTATAATGAATACCTAATATTTACAAATTTCATCGACTTTCGCTAGTGTGAAAAATTTTTCTTTTCAGAATTCTCCTTCCGCTGAATTCGCGGGTGATCGTTTTAATGTTTTTTTTTTGTTAAGGCATTGCTATTTGCCGTCAGTCGGCGAACAAGAGTTCTTTTATTTGGCAGTAGCGAGAAAGATAGAAGCGAATAATTGTTTTTTTTCATTTTTTTTTTTACTTTTTTTGCAGTCGAACATCTATGCAGAATTTCGTATCTTCTCTTTTGAAATGAGTATCTCTTTGTTTCATACGAAAATAGCTTCAGTTTTTGGGGCTTTCTCTCAAACGAAAATTTCCTTTTTTTACCTTTTGTTTGTAAATCTTTGAGAAAATCTCATGTTTTTCGTTGAGAGTTTATTTGGAAATTTATTCTCAGCCCATTGTCGAACGGCGCTCCATTCTCGAGATTGATCGCTACCGTCTGCTGAATGTGATGAATGTCCAAGAGTAAAGATCGCCGCCAAAATTTTCAATTGTAATTGATCATGAAGGATGTAGAAACGAGCGTTAATTTGGGGGCCGAACGGTACTTCGCGCTCGACTGGGAACCGCGGCCCCATGTGTCATACAGATTCTTCTCTCTTGAAATTGATATTCTGCGAGGCACAGAAATCGCGTGTAAATGGAATGCAATTGAATAGTTTACATATTTCGCATTCATAAACTGGAATGTTGTAAAATAAGGCGAGAAGTAATGTAAAGAGACCGACAATTAAAATTGTGCATATCCAAATTAGAAGAACTTTTCGTCGACGATCGTAATGGCCAAATGAAATGAATGGCATGAAGGCGTAGGCTGCGAGAAAACCAAAAATAAAACCAAATAAATGAGCGTAATTGTCCACCCATGGCAATACGCCCAGCATCAAAAGAATGACGAGAATTATTATTAACTTGAATAGTGCTCTTCGTGGATATTTTAACATTGGCCAACAATGAAGAATCTCCACAATTAACGTTGCCAGGAGAGCAAAGTGTGCGCCCGCCGGACCCACCTGAAACAAAAGACGAGTTTTTTTTATTATTTCTCATTTTAAATTAACAAATTAGTTCATTTAAAATCAATTTAAATTAACAATAAATTTAAAAAAGTTCATTACAAACAATTTTGTTTATTGAATTTTCGTTAATATTTAATCTTTCAAATATTAAATTAGAATTTCATTAATTTTAAAATGCAAAACATTTGAAGATTTAAAAAAAAATAGAAACCGAAAAGCAAACAAGAACTAACTTCAAACTGTGAAAAGACATTCGGAATACATTGATTATTAATATAGAAATAAATAAACAATTTTCTTTCTTTCTTTCCTTAAAACAATATTGAAATTGTTTCACAGAATTGCTAACTATTTTTTTTATTTTCAAAGTCCCCTTTTCGTAACATTTGTCTTTTACCAGAATAATTCCCAAAAAAAATTGCTTTTCCATTATATTTGTCCTCCTTGACTCGAAAAGATCGTTTCGTGTTTTAATTAATCAAGTTACTTTTAATTCTCTATATTTTTAAAACAATATTTTCCAAAAATACTATTATTTTAATTTTCAAATATTTCACTTTTAAATTCTAAAAGAAAATTCTAATTTAAAAAATACTCATATTCCTCTTTCTTTCATTTTTTTATTATAAAAACAATATTTATCATTCAAACTACATTTTATTTCTTTAAAGGAAAAAAAAATATTGGCAGAAATGATTTTTATCAAGATTTTACCTTGCATTGTGTATTTAAATAAGAATTTAAAAATGAATTGTTTAAATGAAATTTTTTAAAAATTAATTAAGAAAAATTTTTTACCTCAGCTCTGTAGGGAATGAATATTGCACTAGCCAAGTTTCCAGCAAAAGCGCCTATAAAATAAATCAACGCAATTCGAAGAGAACCAGTCAATTTTTCCAAATCTCTCATCAGAAAATATTGCACGAATAATGTGATGGCTAGGTGAAGAATTCTGTAAACAAAAAAATTGTAGTTGATAAATTAGAGGTGAATAAGGAATTAATAAATTTAAGGAATAAAATATTTTTAATGAAACAGTAGTAAAAAAAATTTGAAATATTTAATGAATTAAATTTTTTTGATTACAAAATTACTAAGCTAATTACTGTTATTTTTTATAATTAGTAAAATTCTTTGCAGGAATTCATATTATTTTCAATACAGTTTTAATAAAATTTCACGAAAGAATTCAATTATTTTTAAAAATTTTTAATACAATTTTACGAAAGAATTCAATTATTTTCTAAAATTGTAATTAATTCCTCGAAATAATTTAATTATTTTTTATAAATAGTAAAATTCTTCGCAAAGATTAAATTATTTTTATAAATAGTAAAAGTTGTCTCATGAATTCTTTGTTTAATTCAATTATTTTCAAAATTTTAATTTAAAATTACAAAAAAAACTACGTTACTTTCAAAAAACTTAAAGAACTTCTTCAAAAGAATTTAGTTTTCTATCAATAATTGTAATAAAAATTAATAGTAAAATTATTCATTACAATTATTAACAAAATTGATAAAATTAAAAAAATTAATGAAATTTTTTGAAAGAATTCAAATACTATAAACAAAAATTTAGTAGTATTTATTCTTCGAAAGAATTCAATTATTTTTAATATTTTAATAAAATTCCTTGAATGAATTAAATTATTTTAAAAAATTGTAATTAAATTCTGAGAAGAATTTAATTATTTTCTAAAAATTTTAATAAAATTCAATAATCAAATTTTAAATTTCAATTTTTAACAAAGTTTAAAAGAAATTCTGAATAAAATTCAATCTTTTCAAAATTTGCAAACAGAATTATTAAAAAACATTATTTTTAAAAAATTTAATAACTTCTTGGCGACAATTCAATAATTTTCATAATTAATAGAAATCTTTGCAAGAATTCAATTATTTCAGTACAATTTTTCTAAATTTTTCTCGAAAGAATTCAATTTTCAAAATTTGAATTTTTCAAATTTCATAGTTTTTAATTAATATTATTAAAAATAACTAAATTTTTTTCAAAAAATTTGAAGAAATTCTTCTAAAGAATGTAATTATTTTTAAAAACTCTAGTATAATTCTTCAAAAGAATTCAATTACTTTTGTAAATTATAACAATCTTTACTGGAATAATTTTATATACAATTTCAAAAAAATTTCTTTATATGTAGATTTTAATTATTTTTCAAAATTTTAATAAATTTCCATAAAAAAATTAAAATATTTTCAAAATTTTTAATAAAATTATTGGTGAAAATTCAATTATTTTTTACAAATAATAAAATTCTTAGCAGAAATTCAATTACTTTAATAAATTTTAATAAAATTCAAAAAACGAATTCTTCGCAAGTATTCAATTATTTTCAATAAAATTTCTTGAAAGAATTAAATTATTTTCAATATTTTAATAAAATTTCTTAAATTAATTCAATTATTTTAAAAAATTCAAATAAAATTCTCAGAAAAATTTAATTATTTTCTAAAAATTTTAATAAAATTTAAGGTAATAAAATTTCTAAATGCAATAATTGAAAAACACGATTTTTAAAAAAATTTGAATGAAATTTTTCGTAAAATTTAATTAATTTCAAAATTTTCAATTAAAATTATTAAAAAAAAAGTTGATTATTTTCATAAATTCCAATAAAATTCCTCACAAGAATTCAATTATTTTCATAAATAGTAAAATTCTTCGGAGGAATTCAATTATTGAAAAATTATTTGATAATTTTTTATTTATCAAAAGAATTGAATATTTTTTAATACATTAATTTTAAAATTGAAAACATTTATACAGGAGAATTATTAAAAATAGTTAAGAAAGAAAAAAATATAGATTTCTAATAAATAAATAAATTAATATATCAAATAAATTATAAATTCATATATAAAAATACAAAAAATATGATAACGAATTTTTCAAAAATTACAATTGTCTCCAATTATAAAAATCGAATTGAGTTAATTGAAAAAAATATTTACCCAGCATGAAGAAAAATTGTAGTGAACAGCCGGTAGAATTGATCGGGCCATTCGGGATGTAAAAATGGAACCATTCCACAGACATCATGAAGACATTCGACTTGTGAACAGAGTGAGGCCTCATCATGAAAATAGCCATGTACAAAGTCACAATATTCCTTTGTCGTAATTCTACACATTCCATGAATACCAATACAACAAGGATGTCCAATTACTTCGCAAACCATGTGCTCGGCCATTTTATCTTTGTAACGACCAACGGGAAAATTACTATTGCCATCTTGATTAAAATTGCCACTGAAAATATCAAAAAAAGAAAGAAAAATGTAGAAAAAATTGTATCATCCACACTTTTACGAAAGAGAGAATAATATAGAAAATTGTTTTTTTGAAAAATAGTACATGTATATTTTCATACCTGAATCTTTGACTAAATGGATTTGTCTTTCGGCAAATTGGCCACTTGGTAATATCATCGGGCCATTCGTACGGTGCAATACTTGCTGGAGCGTCGCAAAATTTTGGATCTAATCCGCAAACTGATCCGCTTATTCTTCCACCTGGTCCATTGTCGCCGGGTCCCCACTTTTTCCACGTTGATATTGTATTCTAAAGTTTACGAAGCAAAAAAGTTAGATAAAAAAAAAACGCTGTACATTTTTAGTCATAAAATAATCAAGTCTGACAAATATTTTCTAAAATTGTTAAAAAATAAAATTATCAGAAAAAAAAAATATAATAAAAAAATAGAAAAAGTAAAACAAAATAAATTTCAATAAATAAATATAAATAATAGTAAAATAAAATAAGTAAAATATTTATTTTAATTTTTTTTTAATTTCGATAAATTAGAAAAAAGTAAATAAGACTAAAAAAATAATAGCGAAAGAATTTGACATAATATTCGAATTAAAATTTTAGAATTTAATTCCTTGTTTTAATTTGTCACTATTATTTTAAATTTATCATTTGACATTTTTCTCCGAAAATTTTGTATTATAATGGTTTTTTTTTTTTGCTTCAAGTTGGAATATTTTACTTTTAATTAAATATACGTATTAAATGTCATCATTTTCCTGTTCAATAATTTTAATTATGATAATATATCCTTATTCAAATATTCATTTGTGAACATTTTCATTAATCAAAAGTTCCACTTATGCAATAAGTTTTCAGACCACAATGTTAATGTTTTTGAAAATGGAAAAATTACCATTACCATCATTTCTCAGTGAAATGAACTTTATATGTAAAATAAATGAATATTTGAAGTACATAGTGAACTCGAGGTTAATTATGAAAATTTGACAAATTAAAATTAACTATTTCTTTTTAGACAAATGAAATGAAAAACATTTGCTAACAAAAAAAAATAACTATTTCCTTTTAGAAAAACAAAATGAAAAAAATTTGCTAACAAAAAAAATAAATAAAATAAATAAACAAAATAAATGAATAAAATAAATAAATAAAATTGGTAGAAATAAAAAAATTAATATGTAATAGTAATGATTTTTTCTTTTTTACTCCCTCGGAGAGGAAGCTTTTTTTTATCTGTGAGATTATTACCGTCATTGTTGATCTCAATCCCCGGACCAGTTGGGTTGGAAAAGATAAATTTATATTATAAATCTGAGTGGGAATATAACAGTCAGTTGGAAAAATGGAAAATAATAATTATAAGGGGCTGAAAATTTGTACTCACTGAACAATCGGCTTTGCTTGATTGTACGCAACCGGAATCGTCATTTCTAATGCAGCAAGCAGTGTCTCTTTCTCTTTCTCTCCACATGTCGATTTCTTTGAGAATTTTTATATCTCGCCGCATGCAGGGAGCAAATTTTGCCCCGAGATGAATTAAATCCGCTGCTCTTGGACCAATCCAGAGATTTGATGGTTCCTGGTAGTCCACTTGTTGCAAAGAAAGACTCGTCACTAGTACCTGAAAATTAAAAATTCTCATTAATTATAATTATTAACGCGACATACTTATATTTTACTTAAATATTTATTTAGTAATTCTAATTTAATTTAAATTAAAATTCTAATTCTAATTCTAATTCTAATTCTAATTTTAATTTAACTATTTAATTTTTTATTATTATTATGCAAATTTCCAATTTTTCTATCTCAAATATCAACTTTAATTTTCGAATGATTTCAGATTTAAAATTCTAAAAAATCCATTTATTAATTAGTTGATTAATTATTGGGTACAATTTATTATTTTTAAAAAATATTCATAATATTCTTTGAAACTATTAAATTATTTTCAAAAATTTGAATACAAATATTTGCAAGAATTCAATTACTTTCATACATAATAAAATTCAATTATTTTTGTAAATAGAACAATTATTTGCAGGAATTTAATTACTTTCGATACAATTTAAATAAAATTCCTCGAAAGATTTCAGTTTTTTTTATAAGTAATACAATATTCTTCTCAAAATTTCAATTATTTTCAAAAATTTCGAAAAAATTCTTGTCAAAAATTCAATTATTTTTACAAATCATAAAATTCTTCTCAGAAATTCAATTATTTATAAAAAAATTTTGATAAAATTCTATATAAAAGATTCAATTATTTTAAATGCAATTTCAATAGTATTTCTCGAAAAAATTTAATAATTTGTAAGAATTTTCGTAAAACTCGTCGGCAAACTTCAAGAATTTTTAATTTATAAAATTCTTATCAGAAAATTAAATTATTTTCAAAAATTTTGAAAAAATTCTTGGCATAAATTCCAATTATCTTTTATGAATAATAAAATTCTTCGCAGAAATTCAATTAGTTTCATAAATTATAATAACATTCTTTGAAAACAATACAATTATTTTTATAAAATTTAAAAAATAATTTTCTTCGCAAGGAATTAAATTTTTTTTGTTAAATGTAACATTTTTTGCTGCAATTTTTATAGTATTAAATACAATTTCAATAAAATTTCTTGATAGAATTAATTTATTTTTCAAAGTTTTAATAAATTTTCTGCAAAGAATTAAATTATTGTTTCTAAAAATTTTAATTTAAATTCTTCGCAAAAAGTCAATAATTTCCATAAATAATAAAATTTTTCAGAGACACTCAATTATTTTTAATACAATTGAGCTGGCGGATCAAAGAAGGGCACATAACCCATTTGAATTACATTGGTTATGTGCCCTTCTTTGATCCGGCAGCTCAATTTCAATAGAATTTCTTGAAAGAATTAAATTATTTTAAAAAGTTTTAATAAAATTTCTAAAAAAAATTCAATATTTTTAAAAAATTTTGATAAAATTCTATAGAGGAATTGAATTATTTTCATTACAATTTTAAATCAAAATTTTTCGAAAGAATTTAAATTTTCTTCGAAGCAATTGGTTCTTTTTACAAATTTTATTATTTTCATAAAAATAAAAGTCTTTCGCAGAAATTTAATTATTTTTAATACAATTCTAATAAACTTTCGCTAAAGGATCTAATTATTTTCTAAAATTATCACAGAATTTGTTTATTAGAATTTAATTATTTTCATTACATTTGTAATTTTTGATTTAATTTTAATAATTTAATCCTTGAAAGAATGTAATTATTTTCAGAAATAATAAATATACCTAAATAATGATGAAAATATTCATAATTTATAAAATTCTTCAGAGAAATTTAATTGAGCTTTGATAAACTAATATATTTTTTAAGATTACATAATTTTTTAATTTTACATAGAACAAGAGAGAAAAATCCGTAATTTATTACTTAATGATTCTTTAATTATTAATGAAGAAAAAAATCCATATTTTATTACCTATCAATTTATTAATTATTCGTGCCAATAAATATATTACGACTATAAATTACATGTAATTAAAAATTGAAAAAGAAAAAAAGAAAAATTTCAATTTTAGTGAATTTTGTCTTAAAGAATGTCACTTTGATAAAAGTATTTTAATTTTCGTTCAAAGAATGAGCTTTAATTTTAATTTTACAAAGGAAGGATAAAGGAAAAAGTACGTATTATAGAAAAATAATGATTTTGTGTAAAATGAGAAACTGATTAGGAAATTTTTGTGCAATTAATGTAATTCTACATTTCCTCTCTCTCTCTCTTTTTCTTTTTTGAGGTGACCATTCCAGTAATTTGACCTCGGAAAGAGTGATTTTATTTCATTGTTCTTTGGTGCTAATAAATTGCATCAACGTAGCTATTTGTACGTGAAGTCGACGAGGATGAATGGAAATTAATTCGGGAACAAACGTGATTTCGCAATTGTATACATTGGCACAGAATCGAGAAAATGGATTTAATCGATTGTAGACTATATTTATGTACATGTATATATAGTATGAATAATACGAGCTTACAGAATGTTACCCTCCCATATAATTATTTATAAGAAGAAAATTTTAATCTCACAAGTTATGATAGTTTTCTTATTGCTTTTTCTTTTCTTATTACTTACAAGTCTATTTACAAGTACAATAAATATACTCAAATCATCCCCTTTTCTATTAATTTTTTATTAGTTAACAAATTTTTAATTAATTAAAATAATTAATTTTAACAAATTAAATAAAAAACCATTTTACTTTTTAAAAACTTAGAATAGTTTCTTTTGTCTCAAAAATTCTAGAAAGAAATTTAAATTTTCAAAAAAGGAAAATTGTTTTTTTTTTATTTAATTGATTAAAATAATTAATTTTACCAAATACAATAAAAAAACTTTTTTACTTTTTAGAAACTTTGTATTTGTTTCTAGAATTTTAGAAATAAGAGAAACTTTTCTAAGTTTACTCCCAAAAAAAATTTAATTTACCAAAAGAGAAAAGCGATCGATATTTAATATTTTTAAAGAAATTATAATAAAAAGAAAAAGTAAATAAAAATTGGATCAATAAAATATGTGAAATTTTTCTTTTTCTTTTTTGCAACGAATGTGAAAAGAGAATGGTATGTATATTAAAAATATTTAACGGAAGGAACAGAAAATTTGAACGAATGCCAGTGCAAAAATTTTTGGCCTCGAAAATTCTCGAGATTTTTTTGGTCAATTTTTCTGAAAATTATATTACCGCATTGAAAATATGGGAAAGAATTTCTTACTAGTCCTGATTTTTGAGTGAGACCCATTCCAATTGGACCGAATCCATAGCAAGCCAGTGAAATGATTAAAATTAAAATTTGCACAGTGGTGATCCAATAAGTAAAATACGGCCGGTGATCTTCAAAGTCATCCAATTGTTTCCTTACGTCAGGTTTGTGTGCCACACTCTTTCGAAATGATCGCCTGAAAATTCAAATATTCATTAACATTTTTTCCTTTGGGGAATATAATTTTCTATTATTTTCATAATTTAAATAATTTTCATTTTTGTTATTTTAGTAATTTCAATAATTTTCATTATTTTGATATTTAAAACAATTTCAATAATTTTTGTTATTTTAATAATGCAAATAATTTCAATAATTTTGATTATTTTAGTAATGAAAATACTTTCAATAATTTAGATTATTTCAATAATGAAAATACTGTCAATAATTTAGATTATTTCGATAATGAAAATAATTCCAATAATTTTGATTATTTTGAAAATGAAAATAATTTCAATAATTTCGATTATTTTGATAATGAAAATAATTTTCATAACTTTTATTATCATCGTATAATAATTAAAATACTTCCAATAATTTTTATTATTTCTTTCCTCTACAATTCAGAGATGAAGTAAAAATTTTCAAAAATTGCTTTTTCACTTAAAGTTTGATCTTTATCATTTTATCCGTTTTATTCTAGCAGATAAATTTTGAGGAATTTAACTTCATAAAGGAGAATTTTTCAGGGGCTGGAGGTAACCGCTTCTTTTTTATTACACTCATGCGTTCTGGTAGGGAACGACGATGACGACATTCTTGAAATGTCTCTGTGATATTCGTTTGACCCTTTCGTTAAAAATTTTTACAACCAAAGAAGAGAATGACATTTGAGACTAAGTTTTCCTTCTTGAGTCTCGTTTGAAATTTCTTGACTTTTTCCTTCTTATATTCTCGTCCTCCTCCTCTTCCACCTTTTTTTTTCTCCTCTCGCTTTTTACATGCCTGACGTGCTCTAATTTTTAACCAACACGCGACTTATGTATTAACATTTAAACATGATATTTAAGGTATAATTTCCATTCGCGACAGTCGCCAACACAAAAGTGAAAAAAAGAAAAAAATAGAAACGATTTCAAAATAGAGTTTTAGGTTAAAAAATAATAAATAAAATACTATTTTTTAATAATATTTTTAACAAATAATTCTTTTTACGAAGAAAAATATTTTTTTCCAAGTAATTCTTTTTATGAAAAATAATAGTTTTACCAAAAAATTCTTTTAACGAAGAAACGTATTTTTCAAAATAATTCTTTTTATGAAAAATAATATTTGTATAAGAATATTCTTTTTATGAAAACTAATATTTCCATCAAATAATTCAATTTACGAAAAATAATAATATTTTTCGCAGTAAATAGAAATAATAATTCTTTAGTAAATATTTTTTTCTTTTCAAATATTCGTGTTCAGGAGAAAAATGAGATCTGAACTAAAAAAATAATACGAAATAAATAAAATTCGTTTCTATTGATAAATATGAAAAATAATTTCATGTTCCCGGCAGCAACTGCCGCAGGTAAATTACCTTAAACAATGATTGAATGTTTGATAAATACAGTTTTGAACAGAACGCAAGAGAAATATAATTTCTATTCAAATTAGAACAATTACATCTGCAGTATGAAAATTTTCTAATTACACTTGTCGGAGATATGTATAACTGCTTTGTATGGATCTAAATTTATTCCACTATTTAGAAATTCATTTTTCAAAAATAATCAATAGGAAAATTATATGAAAACCTCTGGCCAATCTCTATTTTTTCATGGAAAAAAAAATTAAGAACAAGATAAATTAGTTTTGTCATTAAAAGTTAATAGCAATGAGCAATTTTTTTTTTTAATTGGGCTAAACAAATTATTTTTTTGCAAAATGTAAATAGCAACATTAATATTCCTTGCCAATAAAACATAAAATTATCAACAAAATAATTTGTTATACAAAAATTCATAAAATTATTTATTTATTTTAACTAAAAAACCTAAAAAATAAAATGAAACCAAAAAATATATAAATTTAGCAAGAAAATAATTTTGTTGCAAAGAAAAAAAAATAAATTTATCAACAAAAATAATTTCTTGCAAAAAAATGTATAAATTTAGCAAACAAAATAATTTGTTACCAAGAATAAATAGTATTTAATTTTTAATTCAATTTTACTTTAATCAAATTTAATCTTCAAGGAATTTTGCTTTCATTTTATAAATTTTTAGAAATAATAATTATGGATAATTTTTTTTTTTTTGACATTAAAATCTTTTTGTGATTATTTTTGCAAAATCATCACTCACCCAAAAAATCTTCCCACGATTCCCATTCCATATAATCGTCGATTGCTGTTATCGAAAATCCTGTCAATTGTCGCCGGTGATATTCTCTTTCCACCAATTTCTTTTCTTAAAGTGACACCTTCAATAGGATGAACTTCAATATCGGAATTCGCAAACTCTTGTCTCGATCTGCAAAAAAAGGTGATTAATTATTACCATTTGCTTATGGAATTAGAATGAAAAATTAGTGTAAAAATTATGTTATGTAAAAATAAATGAGAAAATGAATAAATAAGAAAGTAAACAAATAAATAGGTAAATAAATTAATAAGTAAACAAGGAAATAAGTTAACAAATAAATAAACAAGTGAATAAATAAATATGCCAATTAATAATTAAATAAATAAGAAAAATAAATATGACTAAATAAATAGACTATTAAATAAATAAGTTAACAAATAAATAAGTAAATAAATAAGTAAACAAGTGAGTAAATAAAAAATAAGTAAAAAAATAAATAAATAAAAGGTGAATAAATAAATAAAAAGGCAATTAAATTAAATTAAATGATCAAATAAATAATTAAAAAACAAATAATTAAATGGTGAAAAGATAAATAAACACAGAGGTATTTTGAATTCAAAAATACTTAATGTAATAATTGATAATATGATATTAATTAATTTAATTAGATGGTTGGAGAGTAAATAAGTTTGGAATGTTGATAAGTTATTGAACAAATTGAAATATTTTCGAATTATTTTTGAATAATAAACAAACCTTGAAATATAATGATCCCTCGTAATAGAGCGAGGTCTTCTACTTTGTCCATCGATTGACGATCTTTCATTCGTTTGAAATGACAACCTACACAGAAAATTATTTACTTCATTAATTGAATAATTAAACAAATATTTAAAATAAATTCAAAATTTCTTAAATTCCTACAAAATGTATTTACAATTTGCTAAAAAAAAAATTAATGCACTCAACGTCTATTTCAGTAGAAGATAAATAAAATATTTTTATATTTTCAGTTTCAAAAAAATGAATGAAAAAATAACCGTTTTAATTAAAAACTAAATGTTTTTCCAATTTTCTATTTTAATTGAAAAGATAAAACTTTTATCAAAAAATAAATAAATAAACAAACAAAAAAATTAAAAGAGAAAAAATACTAAATAAAAAAATAAAAAAAGTAAAGATGAAAAATATTTCCCTGTAAAAATTTTTACTATTTTTACTTTTGTATATTAATAATATTTTTCTAAAAAGAAAAATGTTAATTAAAAATCTGAAACTTTTTTAAAAAAATAAAGAAATAAATAAAAAACCGCTGCCAAGTTGTACATTTTTATAATTTTAATGTTCATTTCATGAACACTTTGCTTCCTCATAGAAATAATAATAATTGAAATATAAGAATTAATTTTTATAAAAAAGTTAAAAATCATTAAATCTTGGTCCAAAGATATGTTTTTATATATTCTATAAGATGGTTATAATAGTTTAATAATTACACATAAGTTAATAAACAAGAATGTTGACAAAATTATATTTTCCATAATTTTTTATTTTTCAAATACCAATAATTTGATAATTTTTGACCGAATCAGGTTCAAAAATAGGTCAATCGAAGCCTTTTTTAAATGCTCTACAAGTTGGTAATGAAAGTTTTAAAGTTTCTTTTATATTTTTTCATTCGTACATAAAGTTCTAAAAGATTAGGTATAATGAAAAAAAATTTATAAATATGTCAAAAAATCACAATCGAAAATTTTGCTAATACAATCCTTCCTCTATGAGGAAGCAAAAGTAAAAAGTAAAGACGAAAAATATTTCTCTGTAAAAATTTTTGCTATTTTTATTTTTATATATAAATAATAATTTTCTAAACAGAAGAATATTGATTGAAAATCTAAAACTTTTACCAAACAATAAATAAATAAATAAATAAATGAAAAAATAAAAAACGAGAAAATAAAAAATATTTTTCCGTCAGAATTTTTGCTCTTTTTATTTTTTATACCTAAATAATATTTTTCTAAGAAGAAGAAGAATGTCTTATTAGGTTTACACTTTCGTGGAGGAGAATGAGACGTAATATATAAATGTACATGTGTGAGCAATAAATTTGAAGTATTAGAGTTTTATAAGAATTGCAAAAGAAAAGAGGAAGAGAGGAAAAAAAAAGCTCTCGGTATTGGACAAGCGACAAGCAATATTTTTCCAAGCGTCTCACCTCAATAATTCTTCCGAGGTGTCACGTTCGGTTGCAGGTGCAGGTTCATGGAATTCTGCAGCTGCGTTAGTAACTCCATCCTCTTTCGTCGAAGTAGAGGAGGATGATTGCTCTACCTGAACGTGTGATTGCTGAGGCAGCGGCGGTGCCGGTAGAGCTGGTGGTCTCTCAAAAAATGAATCTTCCTCTTCAACTCGTGTTTCCTGCGACAAGGAACTTTCATCCGCTCTGGTGGACGTTGATAATGTTCCAGGTGGAAAACTTCTCGATTTCGAACGAGTCTCAGGTCGATCCTTTGGCCTTGGACGTGTCAGTGTCTAAAATCAAGCAAAAGTGCAGTTTATGCAATTAAAACAGTTTTTTTTATTATAAAATACACTTTAATAATGATTTCTTTAATATTAAAAAAAATTAGAATAATTGTCTGACTAAATACTGTCTTGTACTACTTATATTTTATTTTAAATAATTTAAAACATTTTCCTCGATTAAAAATGAATTTTTGCTACTCAATTCTTTATTAAATATTTTTATAGTTATGTCTGACGAAATCTTGACTTATACTACTGATATATTATTTTAAGTAATCTGAAAACATTTTGTGTGATTAAAAATTTAAATCTGTCCACTGAATTCTTTATTTCAAACATTGAAATAGTTATGTCTGACTAAATCTTGACTTATACTACTGATATTTTATTTGAAGTAATTTAAAATATTTTATTCGGCTAAAAATGGAGTTTCGCTACTGTATTATTCATTTTTAATATTCAAAAAGTTATGTCTGACTAAATCTTAACTTTTACTACTGATATTTTATTTTAAGTAACCTAAAACATTTTGTGAAACTAAAAATTGAATTTTGTCTACTAAATTCTTTATTTTAAACATTTGGAATAGTTATGTCTGGCTAAATACTGACTTATACTACTGATATTTTATATAAAGTGATTTAAAGTATTTTATTTGGCTAAAAATGGATTTTCACTACTGTATTCTTAATTTTAATATTCAAATAGTTATGTCTGACTAAATCTTGACTTATACTACTGATATTTCATTTTAAGTAATTTAGAACATTTTGTTTAATTAAAAATGGATTCTTACTACTGAATTCTTCATTTTTAGTATATTGGAATAGTCATGTCGGACTGAAAATTGACTTATACTACTGATACATTATTTTAAGTAACCTAAAAGATTTTGTTTAATTAAAAATTGAATTTTTGCTACTGAATTCAATATTTAAAATTTTTGAATATGTCTAACGAAGTATTGATTCATACTACTGATATTTTATTCTAAGTAATTTAAAACATTTTCTTTGACTGAAAATGAATTTTTATTACCGAATTCTTTATTAAATATTTGCATCATTTTGTCTGACGAAAAATTGACTTATACTATTGATATTTTATTTTTAGTGATTTAAAGAATTTTGTTTGATTAAAAAAGGTTTTTGTAGTGTTGAATTCTCAATTTTAATTATTTAAATAGTTATGTCTGACTAAATCTTGACTTATACTACTGATATTTTATTTTATGTAATTTAAAGAATTTGGTTTGATGAAAAATGGTTTTTACTATTTAATTCTCAATTTTAAGTATTTAAATAGCTATGTCAGACTAAATTTTGACTTATACTACTGATATTTTATTTTAAGTAATTTAAAACATTTTGTGTGACTGAAAATTGATTTTCACTACTGAATTCTTTATTTTAACATTTAGAATAGTTATGTCTTGCTAAATACTGACTTACACTACTTATATTTTATATAAAGTGATTTAAAATAATTTAATTGGCTAAAAATGGGTTTTGCACTATACTGTATTCTTAATTTTAATATTCAAATAGTTATGTCTGACTAAATCTTGACTTATACTACTGATATTTCATTTTAAGTAATTTAGAACATTTTGTTTAATTAAAAATGGATTCTTACTACTGAATTCTTTATTTTAACATTTAGAATAGTTATGTCTGGCTAAATACTGACTTACACTACTTATATTTTATATAAAGTCATTAAAAATTTTTTATTGTCTAAAAATGGATTTCCACTACTGTATTCTTTATTTTAATATTCAAAATTCAGACTTACGTCTGACATAATCTTGACTTATACTACTGATATTTTATTTCAAGTAATTTAAAGAATTTTAAATAATTAAAGATGTTTTTTATAAATAAATTCTCAATTTTAAGTATTTCAATAGTTATGTCTGACATAATCTGGTTATGTTATCTGGTTATGTCTGGTTCAAGCTACTGGTAGTTTATTTTAAGTTATTTAAAGCATTTTGTTTTATTAAAAATGGTTTTTACTATTGAATTCATAATTTTAAGAATGATGAATAGTTATATCTGACTACATTTAAACTTTTACTACTGAGATTTTAGTTTAAGTAATTTAAAGAATTTTTTTTGATTAAAAATCTTTTTTTTAACATTGAATTCTCAATATTGTGTATTCAAACAGTTATGTCCTACTAAATCTTGATTTATGTCTCTGATATTTTATTCTAAGTAATTTAAAACATTTTCTTTGACTAAAAATGAATTTTTACTACTACTGTTATGCTTTACTAATGGTATCTTACTTTAAAGTTATTTAAAGCATTTTGTTTGATTAAAAATGTTTGTTTACTATTGAAATCTCAATTTTGAGTATTGAAATAGTTATGTCTGACTAAATCTCGACTAATATTACTAATATTTTATTCTGTGTAATTCAATACATTTTCTTTGATTGAAAATTAATTTTTACTACTGAATTCTTTATTAAATATTTGCATGATTTTGTCTGACGAAATCTTGACTTATACTACTGATATTTTATTTTCAGTAATTTAAAATATTTTATTCGGCTATAATTAAAAATGGATTTTCGGTACTGTATTATTCATTTTTAATATTCAAATACCCAACGGGAAGTTGCCAATGTTAACGATTGGTTCAATAATGGGCCATGCTTGGTACCCAATGGTTTTTTCTTGGCAAAACAATTGGCAACCATCGTTGGACCACCAATGGTTTAAACTTGGGATGATCACGCTACTGCCAATGATCGGTAGCCAAGCATCGGGCCAATATTATTTGCCAAGGAATTGCCAAGGAGACAAAATCGATTTTCAAAAGCTTGATTTTTTATTGGCAGCCAACAAAAAACCAAGGTTTTGAAAATTGATTTTTTTTAATTATTAATTAAAATTTATTTTTAAAAAATATATTTTTCAAAAATTTATTTTAAAAAAATATATATTTTTTTAAATTAATAGAACATATTAATTTAATTTGTCACCTCTGGTAAAACAAAGATGAAAGACTGATAAATTCCCTCACTTTATATTTTACAGTGGAGGGATGACTGTGAATGTCTTTGCGAGAGAGGAGCAGGTACTTATATAGAGCCAGTGAGAAAGGTCACAAGCGAGAACAAATCACTAGCATGCACTCTGGCGGCGCTTGTCGGAAGTGGCGCAACGTTGGTTGCCAAGCGCTGTGTCGATAACGTCAGGATATGCATGCGCGCCAGAAAACAGTTCCGACAAGCGCCGCCAGAGTGCATGCTAGTGATTTGTTCTCGCTTGTGACCTTTCTCACTGGCTCTATATAAGTACCTGCTCCTCTCTCGCAAAGACATTCACAGTCATCCCTCCACTGTAAAATATAAAGTGAGGGAATTTATCAGTCTTTCATCTTTGTTTTACCAGAGGTGACAAATTAAATTAATATGTTCTATTAATTTAAAAAAATATATATTTTTAAAATAATTTTTTGAAAAATATATTTTTTAAAAATAAATTTTAATTAATAATTAAGAAAAATCAATTTTCAAAACCTTTGTTTTTTGTTGGCTGCCAATAAAAAATCAAGCTTTTGAAAATCGATTTTGTTTCCTTGGCAATTCCTTGGCAACTAATATTGGCCCGATGCTTGGCTACCGATCATTGGCAGTAGCGTGATCATCCCAAGTTTAAACCATTGGTGGTCCAATGATGGTTGCCATTAATGTTCCAATAATGGAACGGAGTTCGCCAAGCATGGCCCATTATTGAACCAATCGTTTACTTCCCATTGGGTAGTTATGACTGGCTAAATCTTGATTTATACTACTGATTTATTTTAATTTAAGCAATTTAAAGAATTTTATTTGATTAAAAATGGTTTTTAGTTTTACTATTGAATTCTTAATTTGAAGTATTATGAAAAGCTATGTCTGACTAAATATTGACTTTTACTACTGACAACTTAATTTTAAGCGATTAAACATATTTTTTTATACCATTTCACTGATCTATTGAAAAAGAGAAAAATTATATCTAGTAAAGAATATAAAAATAAAATATAAAAAATAGCATCATTTTATATATATAGACTAAATATCAATAGGAAGTAGAAAATAAATTAATTAAATAAAGGTAGATAGATAAAAAGGGAAAAGTAGGAAAGAGTTGTTACTAGTTAATGATTGATTAAATATAAAAATTTAGTAAAATCAGAACTTCTCCCTTGTATCAGGATAATATTCAGAAGACATATTGAATTTTCGAAAACAACACAAACGAGCTATGAAACGGTATTCTAAATGCAAAACTGATAATATCGATAATAGGATCTAAGCCGGCTGCTACTTTGGCATTAGTTACATTATAATATCGGTACGTAGTTGTCTCAGCAGAATACCATAACTGTAATATGCATGTATTCATCGATATATCCGCACCAAAGCTTTGCACTATCCCCCCCCCCTTCCCCCCTCTCTCTCTCACCGCGAACATTCCTTCTTCCTATTGGACCATCAAACTAGGCATCCTTAATGAATGTAGTTAATTGCATTGCATTTCAGTACAGTTTCTGAAATCGATCGACCCTAATTGATTTTCTCCCTTCATCGCTCCATTACCACACACTAAAACAACCAATTTCATTAAATTTAATTGAGTTTACATTTGATTCTTCAAAACAAGAATTGTTATTTTCCTCCCTCTTTGTGCCCTCAAAATAAAAATGAAATAACATTACAAAAATATGAGAAGAAACAATTTTAACTTGCATTGAAAACACTTTCTGGAAATCAATTATCAAGATAATTAAAATACTATATTCAAAAAGAATATATAAAAAATGATGGATCTTAGTTGCAAGTTGATTTTATAAATAAGAATTAATGAATTTATCTAAACTACATTCATAAATAAGATTTTTATGAATTTATTTTAATTTATTTTCATTTAATTCATTTTTTCCATTAATTTACTTTTTTATTTTAATTTATTCTAATTTTTTAAATTTTTATTAATCGACTTAAAT